GATTAAGAATGTTATTAAATGATTGGGCAAAATTTATTAAGCGGTTCTAATTAATCAAAACGAAATTTTTGGCCTGAAATTTTGGGATGTTACAGTTAATGATATCAACATTGAGTTAATCACTTTAGAAATCCGTGAATGTTTATTAAATTTTATTACACTTGAATGAATTAAACATAATCATGAGGAGATTCAAATTGTAAACGAAAGTAATTTTATTTATTTGTTTGACAAGTTTAGTATTTTGCTTATTTCAGAATTATTTTGTTTTATATGTTTTATTTAGTACATTGATTCTCTTTAGTTTGACAATTTTACTTACTTTAACAAATACTATATTTGATCAGGTATACTGTCTAGTGCTAATAATCAATTTAGTTTGATAGGATTTATAAATTTAAAACCAAATTTGTAGTTTGAATTAAGTTTATTTTATTAGACTATTTTCAATAGAATTTACAAATTTACTGCCCACAAAAAAAAAAAAAATTAAGGTAACTTATTGTTGAAATCGATATTAATTAACTGGTAGTTTTATATAAATGCCGTTGTTTTAAAAAAATAATAATAATTGCACCATCATTAGAAGTTTAACATTATCTTTGGTATAACTTTACTTATACATTGCCATTTTTTGTTACAACATTCTTATGTATAGAACACATTAAGAACATGATACCACAGATGCAACAATAATTTTATTAAAAAAAATGGATCAATAGATTTATCAAAAAGGCCTAGCTACCTACGCACACGTAAAATGCGAAGTCTAAATGTCATGTTTTCCTACCATCAATATATTTATATTATACCCAATTCTTGAAAACAAATAGTCATAAATAAACCAAGTAGGGATTGAAATTGCGAATAGAATATTTCCAAGTAGTTTTTACATATCAAAATTCTCCTACATACCATCTTAATCTTTAGGTTTTCAATAAAAAAGTAATTAACTCATTGATTGATTGATTGATTATCCATGAGTTGTTGTCACTCATGTAACGCCTTCATCAAATATAATCTGCTGAAACTCTGTCCTGCAACACTGCATAGTGCATAAAAATAATATGAAATTTTAAAACTTATTACATTCAAATCAAATAATATAAAAAAAAAAAAAATTACTAAATACCTGTTGATTTGATTGCAGTAATTGGAAACTTGATTTGTTATCAAAAAGCTATCCAATCTTGATGGCTCCGGAAGCGGTTTAAAAATAGGGTTTGACGGGTCCTCCTCTGGCAACGCCTCCTCTCCCGCAGCTTTTCGTGCCATATTTTCAGACCTTCAAAAATAACATTTACATTTTTCAAAATATTCCAAAAATAAAAAATATATACCTTAATAAGGAAAATAAATAAAAAAAAATTACCTTCTCTTTTGAAGCCATGTTTGCTGTTGGGCTTGCTGACGTGACAAATTACGGTAGTAAAATTGGAACTGAGAAGTAAAAATACAAATTTTCCACGTGTCACTTTGCTATTATTATTACATAAACAAAGAAATGAAAAAAGAAAAAGAAAAAGAAAAAGAAAGACAACCTTTTGTTGTTCCATTGAAAGATCATCCATGCATTCAATCAAAAACTCCATGTTCCTTTCCATAAATGGATTTGTCGACAATTGTAGTCTATCATAATCACACTACCATATAAATATAAAGGTTAAATTAATTAGTCTTTCTTTATATTATAACTATATTAAAAATATTAATATAAAATACCTGAGTAACAGGTGAATCCGGTTCCAGTTCAGTCATGAATGCACTCACAAGGGCTGAATTTGAAACCTTGATCTGTTTACATATTATAAAAAACAACATTTAATTTAATATTAAAGTAAAGTAGATAATAAATGGTTTGTAAAATGAACATACGGGTATCTCCTCAAAGATATCCACCCATGTGAGATTCTTCTCGCGCAACCTAAAAAAAAAAAAAAAAAAAAACAGTGAGTCTAAATTTACAACATAGGAATAATAAAAAGATAATGGAATGGACTTACTTTTCTCCATTGAAATCATTGTTGCGATAAAGCTCCATGAAAGAATCAGAAAGCTTCAAGGCCTTCAAAGCCAGGACACCTTGGTTGGATTTAGAAGGATCATAAATAATGCACACACATCGTCTGATATTCTCCTAAAATTATAAAATACCTGTGTTTGAATATTTGAATTTTTTATGCAACCAAATAAAAATAACAAAGTGTAACTGTGTGTGTACCTGATAATTCATGAAGGTCTCAATCAGTTCCACAGTCTGGAAAGAGCCTAATAAAGTTGATTGGTACCTACATTAAAGATACATCTTACATTTTTAGCAGGTTTAATGAAGAAAGAAAGAAAGAATTCAAATGTGTTAAAGAAAACAGAAGTTACCAGCCTACAGTGTTATTGTCAACATTGACTTCCCTCAGGCATCTCATCATCTCAAGTTGGTAGTTAGCACCTTCTGCTTCAATCTCCTCATCCTCCTCCCTCATCTATTAATATAATTCTAATATGTGTTAGTTAAATAATGGTATTATGGAAGAATTTCAGTAAAGAAATTAGCAACTGTTTCATGTTACATACCGGAAAGGGGAAGCAGTTGGTTACTTCAAGAACACTGCCAACATCCAAGCCAAGAAGTTGACCAGTCACAAGAGAAGGTGAAAACTCTGTACAGTGTTTGATAATCTTCAATACAACCTGTTTGTTCACAATAATATCATCGTCTGATTTACAATTATACTCCCAGAAACAAGTTGTAATGCAATTAAAGGTATAGAAAGTGAGTACCAGTCCTTCGATCTGGACAACTCGTAGAGGCGGAGCAACTGCCTCCTCGGTGGCTGCCACTTGCAAGAAGGAACGAGATGGAGCTGCTGCTGTAAACAATTGCAAACAAGATTCACACAATTCCAAAATACAACAAATCAAGATCATTATGTAAGTTAATTTATGAAAAATCGCAAAAGCGCTACTTTTCTATTGAATTTGTCCGAAATAAAAATCATAAAAACACAAAGAGCAATATACGAACCTGTTGCCATTGATACGATGTTGTATCAGAAGAAGAATAACCACGACACAGTGTAAAGCCCTCTTTCGTAGTGAGAACCCTCGCTCCTTTGGATTCAGAAAAAAAAAACCCTAATCGAAAACTCGCTCCCTTTATATTCATTCAATAGGCAGACATCATTTTCCTATTCGTCAAAGGAAAGCAAAATAGATAATGAACAAAAAAGGCCCCTGCACTTAGATCAGTTCTCGGTTGAACCCCTTCTATTTATGTAGTGACCAAGGACAAATACCAACGATTTTGTACATACTCCCGTTTTAATGTTTAGAGAAATTAAATGTGTATATAGTTTTGGGAAAATGAGTTGGAAGGTAATTAACTTTTCAGTAAGTTCACATCTGAGTAACTATCTTTTTTTTGTACACATCTAGGTAACAAACTTGTTGGAAGTGTTCACATATGACCGGCTATAGCAGGTTACATCCTAGATGTGAACACTTTCAACAAATTCGTTACCTAGATGTGTACAAAAGAAATAGTTACCCAACAAAACAAAAAATAAGAGTAAATTACACGAATTGTCCCTATGGTTTGGGGGATTTTATGTTTTTGGTTCCTAACTTATTTTTTTAACTTGAATGGTCACTGTGGTTTGCGCGGTTGGTCCCTGTCTTACCTAAAAAGACTATTGTGCCCTTATTAATTTATTTTTTAATTAATTTTCTTATTTATGTATTTATTTTTTATATATTTAAAAAATTAATAGACCTCATATATTTGTATCTCCTCACCCACTAAAGATGAAGAGACAATGTATATTATAGGGATGATCTCATCCGCAAGGACCATGATTGAGAATTATTTGATCGTCTTTCTCTGAGGAAGAGGCAAAATAAAATCAACTTGAATTCGGGACCACTATTCGAAATCTTAGTGAAATACTAGATTTGTTATCTCATGTCTGCTTTTCGTGAAAAAATACCAATTGAAGTGGAGGGTTTTTTCAAACAACAAGGGGTTGGGTCAACTATTAAATCAAATGATATTGAGCACTAAAGATGAGGAGATACAAATATGTGAGGTCTATTAATTTTTTTAAATATATAAAAAATAAATATATAAATAAGAAAATTAATTAAAAAAAAATTAATAAGGGCATAATAGTCTTTTTAGGTAAGACAATGACCAAACGCGCAACAAAAATAAATACTAGGGACCATCCAAGTTAAAAAAAATAAGTTATGGACCAAAAAAACAAATTCCCCCAAACCACAGGGACCATTCGTGTAATTATTATTTTTTTTGTACACATAATGAAACCTAGATGTGTTGAAAGTGTTTATATTTGGGTAATTATTTTTTTTGTACACATCTAGGTAATAAACTTGTTGAAAGTGTTCACATCTAGGATCTAACCTGCTACAACCAGTCATATATGAACACTTCCAACATGTTTGTTACCTAGATGTGTAAAAAAAAAATAGTTCCCAGATGTGAACTTACTAAAAAGTTAATTACCTTCCCAAATCATTTACCCATATAGTTTTTATCATTATTGTATGAATTTTATCATTTGTTTCCTTGAGTTTTTTTTAAATTATGCTAGCTAGGTTTTTGTTCTGGATGCTTTAGGCTTGGTAGCTTAAAGTAGAAACTTTTCGAGGTTTTAACATAAGAAAATAACTGATAACATATTGCTAAGTGTTGCATTTAGGTGTATATTTTTGTGGGTTATTTCAAATGTATGAAATATCAACCAAACAAATGTTCTTTATTATTCTAAAATTGCTTGATGTCCTCATGTTTTTTTTTATAGTTGATCATTATAATATGACATAATTTTTGTTGCATACTGTTAACCTTATTATATATAGTTTTTATCAAACAAAATAGTTATTTATTACTGATAAATGTTATCAACGAATAAGAAAAAAGAAATTCACCAACTTTGATAGAAAGGAAGTCAACAGATGTCTAGAAGATAATGTTGTAATAGATAGGACAATGAACGATCATCGTGGTCTATTTTATACATCATGCGTACTTTTCATATAAAAAAATCTATTCATTGCAATGAGAACATGACATGATTTTTAGCATTTTGAAAACTTTTTAATTCAATTATAAACCAACTCGTGTTGAGTGAGACAACTAATTGTTGGATTAGTGTCTAAGTCCATAACTATTTTGGTATGTACTTGACCCGATGGTGCATGGT